ATACAGTCACTCTTAAGCAGCTAAGTTTGGTACATATTTTGGGGAGACAACTTAAGAGAAATCCTTCTGTTCCCCACAGGTTGTAGTCTTTGATTATTCCTGTGTGAATGAATGTTGTTGATGTATCATTTGAGCTCAGGGGTAGAATCACCCCTTGAATTTCCCAAGGAGCCACTGGTGGTTTCAAACTGCCGACCTCGTGGTGAGCACCCGGGACCACACTGCCCACGGAGCCAACACACCCACTGACACTGTTAGATCCGTCCAGTGGGGCCGCCTTTCTCGACAGACTGCGGAAAGGAGGTTCTGGAGATCAAGGCAGGCGCTCGGGCCACAGTGGGCTTTCCTGGGCTCCAGCAGCAAAAGGTTTTTGACTGGACTCCTGTGTGACCTGTGGGGTCACCCTCTCTGGGCCTGTTTGGGATCCAGTGAGGTAGCAGGCCCATCAGGCCATCTTCAAGATGCCTCTGGCTCCAACTCTGGGGACTTCTTTGACCCCCTCATTTTCCCCGGCTGGGCAGCGGGGTGGGCCGTGGGGCATGGATGGCGCCCCGTGGGTCTCCCAGCGTTGGCCTGTCTCCTGCCAGCTAAAGGCGGGCGGGGCAGCCTCCATGGGGCCTAGCAGGAGCCTGCGGGCCAGGAAGGGGCTGTGCTGTCTGGGAGAGTTGGGATCATTTCTCACAGAGGCAGCCAAGGTCCTGCTTGTGGGAAAGAGTTCCAGAGAACTTGAGGCCTAGGCTGTGTGCGGGTGGGGGACATCTCATGGGCTTGACCTTGAGGGTACAGCTGGAGAACTAAGGTGAACCCCCTCCCCTCTTCAATATCTGCCACTTCGCTAATCTTTCCACCTGCTGGTGAAGTGGGGCCACCCTACCTGCCCCCTTGCAGGTCTGGAGACAGGTTCAGAAATGGAGGGACAGCCCCTGTCGCTGGCCTGATCCTAGCTACAGCCTCCTTTCTGGGCCCCGGCCAGTTGTCGGACACCAAATAGGGGGTGAGATAAAGTCAGAAAGCCAGCAAGGCGCCGGGCACAGGGCCTGGAAGATAAGGGGGCACCATCCCCGGAGCCTGGGAAAGGGTCTTTGGGGGAATGCCATGCCATTGTCCTGACCTCCCTCCCCAGAAAAGCCAATCTCCTGATGACCGGAGACTCGGGTACCTGGAAACACCCCTCTCCGGCTTAGGCGGGAGGGGACGGATGTGTTAGGGATGAGGTGAGTGTGAGGAGCCCCCCACCCACCCCCAGAGATGCCACTGAAACCCCCGGAAGCTGAACCAGCCTGGGGAAAGGATGAGGGGGGTTGGAACCTTCTGGGGCTCCACAAAAAAGGAATCATGTGCTTATTTCTATTCATTTTTTAGAGAGCATTGTCTCTGACAGCTCTTATCACAGGCCATACATCAGTTCTAGCGATCGTCTTTGGGCACAGGTTGCCATCATCCTTTTCTAAGCATCCACTTTCTTTTTATGTTCAGTTTATTTTTTTAATCATTTTATTGGGGGCTTGTACAACTTTTTTTTTAATTCCATGATATTTTCATTACATTTGAAGCCCTTGGGAACCAGGCTGGGTCAGCTTCCGGGGGTCTCAGTGGCATCTCTGGGGGTGGGGGTGGGGCTCCTCACACTCACCTCATCCCTAACACATCCGTCCCCTCCCGCCTAAGCCGGAGAGGGGTGTTTCCAGGTACCTGTGTCTCTGGTCATCAGGAGATTGGCTTTTCTGGGGAGGGAGGTCAGGACAATGGCATGGCATTCCCGCAAGGTTCCCAAGGACAGCCCTGAGTTCCAGACTGCACGACCTTGTGCAGGGACAGCCGTGCTGAACACCCCCATTTGCAGAGGGGGAGACTGAGGCAAGCAGGCGGCAGCAATTGGCCAGGAGGCCACGAGGTGGGTGTGGCCAATGAAGTGATTCACTGTGTCACAACTCCTCCCCAGGGGCCCAGCCTGGCCTGGGGCTGCATGGCAGGATGGGAAATTTGCAGCAGAGAGAGTCGGCTTCTGCTCCTCAATTGGCCACACCCACCAATAACTGGGCGGGGCTATGTAAATGAGGTGCGTGGGTGGCGGCTCATGGGATTGGATAGCTTGCTAATGTAAATAAAGCCCCATGGCACCCTTGCAGACCATGCAAATAACGTTAAAGAACCCTAACAGAAGGATTGATCCTTTTCATCACCCCATAGGCTTGAAATGAGCCATCCCAGGGGCTGGAAGGGCGACCTCAGGACCATGGAGACAGTGAGACTAGAACTGAACGCATCCTGTGATCCGGGCCCCCTGAGCTGAGAACCTCCTAGACCCAGGAGACACAGAGAGCGCCGTTGCACCTGAGATGGTGAGGGAGGGCAATGTGCACTGCAGTTTACCAAAGAGAAGTGCATCGTTTGCTTGGTCTGGAAGGAACGTTCCCTGCCAGGAGACTCGTCCTTTTTTCAAATAAGTGAAACTTCCCAAATTTAAAAAAAGCAGCAGCTGCAGCTGCAAGAACAGAAACAGTGGCCACAGAACAAGGAGGTCAGCAGGAAGGAGGTAGCATGGTGGGCTTCCAGCTCTCAGAGCAAGAAAGCGCCTGTCCGCAGGTGTGCTGGGAGGGCAGGGTCATGCGTTGACAATCCACAGAGAGGGAGCTAAGTGCCTTTGGGCAGAGGTTTCCTGGCAGAGAGGGGTACCTCTGAGCTTTTGCTAACCAGCTTTGTGACAAGAGCCCAAGCCTCAGCTGGAGAGGCTTACCCATGGGCAAGGCTGAGAGGATCAAAGAACTGTATCCTGAACATTCCTGAACTAGAATTGTAACCTGCTGTTTCCCTAAGAACCCCCACAACTTTGAGTGGGAGTTCGGTGCAGCCATGGCCATGAAGTGTGGAGCCCAGCAGGGAAATAGCTAGGGCTGTGGGAAGAACATTGGTGTCAGAATTGGGGAAAAAGGTTGGGGAGAGGAGGCTTGCCTGCCCTCTGCCCTCTTAAGAAACGGCCTAGGGCTGTGATGTACATCTGATTCTCCCCCTGGGGATGTTGAGGAGGTCAGAGGCTACTGACAAGCCACCACTGGGGACAGAAGTAACACCCCCTACCCCCTAGCCCTCCACCCCCATGAGACTGCAAACACCCGTGGGCATCACCTCTGGTGGTGGGCTGAGTTTCCAGGCTGGAGGGGGAATGCAAGAGCAGGTGGGGAGCTCTGCAGGAGCCCACACAGGCCTGCTGGGTGGGGACACTGGAAGGGCAGTGGCCCTGGCCTCCTGCTGGGCCCCGCCAGCCCTTCCTCGATGGCAGGGTTGTGCAGCACTCTCCTGGAGGAAAGCCTGAAGCTGCTGTGGACAGTTTGGGAGACAGCCAGCTTGGTGTGGGAGGGAGGGTACAGGGCCCTGGGCTGCGTGTGGCCCAGCCCGCTCCCAGGCCTGCCCAGGCCCCACCCTCTCATCCGGTGCCAGGGCCACTTCAGCCTTCTAGAGGAAGATGGTCCCCGAAGTGGGGGGGACCCAAGGGGTGAGCTGTGCCACAGGGTGAGGCAGTGCGGTTTGCTGGCCTGGCCTCCAGAGATAAATCACCCAGCCTCCCACCTTCTGTGATGCAGGCAGTTTCAGGAGGGGGGAGGAGGATGGAGAGGGGGATTCCCCAACAGCCCCCAAGCAAGACCCCTCTTTGACTAGTGCTCCCTACACCCCTCCCTCCATTGAATTCCCTGGAGGGGGGTGAGCACTCCCCACCCACCCTCCCTGCTCTCTGAGGTGGCGATCTTTCGACAGCCCAAATCTGGCGCCAGCTACCCTCTCCCTATAATCTTCTGTGGCTCCCCAGCACCTTGAGAAAGGGCAGTGTCCAAGCTCTTTGCCTGGCTCTTGAAGCCTTTCCAGATGACCCAACTCTAGTTGGCTTTCCAGCCTCCCCCCCAGCACGCCCCCTCTGGGGCCTTGCAATGCCTCTTCACCTCCCAGCCTTTGCCCCAGCTGCTGCATCTCCCCCTCCATTTCCAGACCAGCCTGTTACAGGCTCAACCCCCACCCTTCCACTCCTGTCTCTCTCTCTCTCTCCACACTCTCCCCTCACAAATCAACCACAGTGATAACCTTCAAGTTGTCCAACCAAGGTCATCCTCCTTTTTCCAATCACTGACACGGCAGAGGTCACCTCAGTGACCCCTGTCTAATCAAAGCTGGGCTTAATCACCCGCTGAGTGGTAGTTGGGAAGGAATCACCTGGGATGAGACCTGCCCAGGGCCAGGCTCACAGGGGCTGCCGAGGGAGGGAGGGAGGGAGGGATGGAGATGAGAGGGGAGACCTGGGAGACTGAAGGAGAGTGCATGGCTGGGGCCCCTCCCAGGCGGGCAGACTCGGTTGAGCTCCAGCTGGCTTCTCCCAGGGCCAGGGCCGCTGTCTCAGGCCTGGCACAGGGCCTGGCCTTTCTTTAGCCCGCATAAGGGACAGAGCCTGCCTCAGGGGGGCGGGGGAGACCCGGGTAGGGCCTGGGCCTTGTGAATCAGAGGTTCTCCTCACAGCCTCCAGAGGCCCGCAGAACCGGCCACCCCTGAGCAATCCCGGAGAACCAGCCCTCGGCCTCTCCTACCAAGCTCCAATTCCTGAAGCCCCCCAGCCATCTTTTCTGGGCCCTTCAAACCCAGCCCCCTGGCCCCAGGCTCCCTTCCCGCCAACACTGGGGCCTAACTCATCCTCAAAGTATTTTCCACTGGCTTCCTCCAATCCCTGCCACAGCACAATTTCTTTGAGTGGTGGGGAGGGGAGGAGGAGAATGGGGGGTGGAGCTTGGACTGTGACTCTGGCCCAAAAGGCATTTTTTTTTGGGGGGGGGCAATCTGATTGGTCATCTCTGCTTCAGAACTGGCTTCAAAATTCCCTTGCCCCCATCCCTGTTCTGACTTCCAATTGGCTGAACTTCCATGAGGGGGCGGGACTCATCAGGGTCTGGTCCAGTTAAAAGGGTGGGAGCGGCTCGGGGCCATCTCTCCTCTCGGTGGAGTCTTGGGACAGCTGGTAGATCGCCTGCCCAGATCACCTTGCACTTAGCCATGGCCTGCGTGAGTGTGGGGCCCCACCCCAAGGCCCAGGGGATGGATTGGGGGCAGAAAAGCAAGGGAGAGCCGGGGACAGGTCAGCGGCTGGGTGCTAGGTCCAAAAAAGCGATTTCCCTTTTGGGGGGCCTCAGTGGCCGGGTCTGTAAAATGGGAGTGGTCGCCCTGGTCCTCAGAGGCCTGGGACCTGAGAATATTCTGGATTCCGGGACCTGACAGTGGTTCCTTCTGCCTAGGGCTGACTTGCAGCCGCATCCCTGTGTCCCTGTCCCTGCAGCAGCTCCTGGGGAAGCGAGAGTGGAAGGGTGTGGCCGCTGGGGGAAGGGGGAACACAGCACTTTTGCCACCGGCCCCCTCCTCCGTCTCAGAGACTCCTGTCCCCTCCCCCGCTGCAGCTGTCCCCAGTCGGCAGGCCGGGCCAGGGCTGGCCCTGCTCCAGAGCGCTGCAGAAGGAGCCGGGCCGGGCCAGGCAGCCTGCACTGGGGGGCTGGGGTGCTTCCCTTCCCTCTCCCCCCAAACTGGGAGGGAGTTGAGCGGGGAGGGGGAGGAATCGAGAAGAGGGAAAGTTCTTAGGCAAAAAGGGTTCTCCTTTCTAGGCGAGGGACCCACCCTCCGCAGTGGGGGGCTGGCAGCCCCACCCACCCTCCCGTGCGGCTCAGTACCGTTAACCCTGGGCTCTGGGGCACTGCCCTGGGGTCCCGACGGGGCTCCTGGGAGGGGGTCTCCCACAGGGGCCGGAGGGGCATGTGGGGGGGATCCCCACCCCTCAGGGAGGCCCTCTGGGCCGGGAGCCAGAAGCACTGCTGACCACTCGCTGGTGGCCCCGGAGGAGCGGCCGCCCACACTGGCGGGGTTCACTGCCCCCTTCCACTCTGAACCCCACTGGAGGCACACCGCAAAGTTTCTGGGAACTCGGGCAGATTGCAGATAGCAGGCCCAGCAGCCCCGGGCCTGGGCGGGGACGCGAGCTCCGCGGTCGCTCACCGGCGGGGCGGGGTCTTATCTGCACAGGGTCTGGTGGCCAGCAACCTGAACCTCAAGCCCGGGACGTGCCTCCGGGTGCGGGGCCAGGTGGCCCCCGACGCCAAGAGGTGAGGGGCAACAGCTGGGGCAGTAGGGGGGGGGAGGGTCTAGCCCCGGGTATCGTTAGGGGCGTGGTCGCCGCGGTCCCGGCGGGGAGGGGGTTAACTCGGCCACAAGCT